CGGGGCGCGGGGCCGTGGGCGGGTGGGCGGCGGCGGCCGTGGTTGCGGGCACCTTGCCGGGGACACCATCGCTGCCGGGCGGTGTCACCTCTGCCCCCACCTCTTGCCCAGGAGCGGGCGGGGGAGGCGGCGGCCAAGTTCGGGCCCCAGCTCCCAGGGATCTGAAGCCTGTTCCGCTCGTCCCAGACCCGTCGCATTCGCCAGTCCTTTTTGGAAATCTAGAAAAAGCACACTTTGAACTCTGGAGGGATCTTTTCTTTGGAAGCCCGGTCGGTTGCGGCCCACAAGATGCACACTCACTCACACCTAGTAATTGCCCGCGCCCCTAGAGGGCAGGAACGCGGCCCTTTGTACGGGCCTACTGCTCAGGCAGAAGAGTATTTGCGGCCCAGAGGCCTTTCCCGGCGGGGGTGGGCCCTAGCAGATTTCTGCACCTTCTTGGGTATCCAGGCATACACCTCACTATGTATCACTGAGTCTCGGGTTTGGAAAAATCCCTTAAGGCAGAATGACTATTTTCTGAACCAGCTCATGGACAGAATCTTTGACTTTGGAAAATCCAGGTGATGGTTATTCTGGTCCTACCAACCTCCTGATGCTTAACTGGCCTGTAGGGACAACCCAGTTGAGCAAGTGTCCTATCTGTATCCAAACACCTTCAATGATAGGAAGCCAACACCCCTTTCCTGCCACAGATTTCATGTTTGAGTGGCACTGACTGGGAGCAAGTTCTGTCTTTCACTGCACTCTTTAGAACCTCTTCCAGGAATGTTTACCCACCGGCCTGTTCTGCCCCTGGATCTCTACAGAACCAGTCTGGGCTCTTCCACAGGTAGTTTATTAAATATTTGAAGGCAGTCAGGTATGTTATCTGCCTGCACCCCCTCTTATCATAATTAAATATGTCACCTTCCAGCTTCCTGGTGCTTTTCCTAAATCCCTTCCTCCCCAGGCCCGACTCCGTTCCTTCCCTTATTCCAGTCTGAACAGTGCTCAGAACTAAGAGGTTTGTGCAAGCTAAGCCACCCCCATCCCAGGCTTTGAAGCGTTCACACTAGCGCCTGATTTTTCTCAACTGAATCTTGCTTGCAGAGATGGAGTCCACAGCCTACACTCTCAATTTGACCCTAAAAGAGGAAGAAGAGGAGGAAGAGATTCAGAGCCGGGAACTGGAAGATGGCCCCACGGATATGCAGAGAGTCCGGATCTGCTCAGAGGGTGGATGGGTAAGTAAGAAGATGTGGGGTCCACACAGCTATGAGGAGAGAAGCAGGCCTGGGAGCCAGGCTTGTTTTAAGTCTCCTCCTCAGGCAGACATAGGAAGTAAAAATAGCCCAGCCCTGTATGTTTGCATTCCTGAGAAAACAGTCCTGTGGCTTTAAAAGGCACTGTGAAGAATGGAAGAGCTGGTTCTAGGAACAGTCTCTTCAGCCATGGTGCTGATCAGCATTCGGGTTGGAAATTCCGGAGGCGGAGAGCTTATCTCTACGCTGTTCCCCTGAGTCCCCTACACCCTGCTCTGTGTCCGGCGTGTTGCAGACACCAACTACCAAACTATAGGGTTTGCTGACCTATGTTAAAGAAAAAAAGTTCTGATGCTTGTGAAGGTGGTAAGGAAGAGTGTTCAGGACTGTTGAGACAGGTGTCAAGACTGTTGTGGTAGGGGAGAGTTGGGGCTCAGCACTGAATACAGTGAGACCCGTGGGGATTTCTAACCAAGGAGCCAGAGCGGAGGGGTCCGTGGAGGGAAAGTTACTAAGTGGAGACATCAAGAATAGGGGGGATTCTCGCTAAACTGACTGAATAAGATTCTTGCTCAAGGCAGGCTAGGGTGATCAAATGTCAAGAGTGGGGGAGTCTTTCTAAACGGACTTAGCAGGATTCTTGCTAAGACGGGGCTGGGCAGGCTGAGGACAGGAGGGGAGCCCACAGGGTGGCCTGGCAGAGAGGAGGGCTCAAGGAACCTGGCTGAGTTTGGGAAGGAGAGGGTCTGCTGCTGGTTGGAGGGACCCCATTTTAAATAAGACTTGGGGCATTGAGCTGACACGAGGAGAGCTTCAGGACACGAGGCCAGTTCTTTGTGAACACGTCTCGGGATCGCGCACACATAGGAGAGCGGCATTCCCTGCTGGCCTGAATTGAAGGATTGGGGTGGTAGGCAGCAGAGACTGTGGGACATATCCAGACAGAAGAGTGTGACAGAGTAAACTTATGAGAATGTAAATGCAACATGGTCCATCCAAATCCCTGCCGGTCCGCCTGTGGAGGTCTCATGTGGACCAGAGCTCCCTAGAAGCCTCACCCCGAGAAGTGAGCAGGGCTTGTGCCAAGGGCGCTTCTGGACACTCCAGGGGGGAAAATAGGTATTTATAGATATCTGTGTAATAGATATTTATCGTTATAATTGTGTATAATTATTCACAGTACATACCGGACATCGTGACATTTGGGCACGAATGGTGAAAATCTTAAACATGCAACAAACTGACATTCCTTTTCTCTGCTTAGTTTTATATGTGAACGTTATCAGTACCCATTATATTCTTTGTTTCCAATAGGAGATCTGTATTCATAGAATCCTGGTCCTCCCAGATGTCCAGTCCAGCTCCCCTCCCACACGAGGGAATCGGGGAGCAGAGAGGTTATCTACTTTGCCCCAAGGATATGCATGTTCACTGATATTTGTTCTGAAAAATGCCTATTGAGCTGGACCCTTAAAAGTAGTGCAGTTTGTTGTGTATATACCTCAATAAAAAAAAAAAAGAAGACGAAGAAAAGAAAAACAATACACCACCAGGCTCTGGGTCCGCAGTCTGGCTCTGTAGGCTGCACGGCCCTTTTGTTTCTGTGTTCTCTGCCATCCCGGCCTCCTCCCCGATTCGGCTCCCCCATGGCTGGGGAGACCTTGGAGGACAGGAGTCAGTCCCATCTGGCCTGGAACGAGACCTCAAGGCAGTAGAAACCTTGGGCTCTAAGGCTGTATTGGCCAACCCAGAACATCTAGATAGCGTGGAAAACCTTGGACAATGGGCAGAGTGAAGGTGGACCTTCAGTGTGGCAGGCAATGTGGCAGCAGGACAGCGAGGAGAGAGCAAGGCGAAGACCATGCCTGGCTGGGAAAGAAGGAGGTAGCTGCAGGGGTTGGGGCGGGGGGGCTGGCTTTGGGGGCCTCCACGCAGTCTGCCACCCATCTGCAGTTATTGAGCACAGCGGTGGTGTTCAAGACAAGATCCTTAGTCCCCTGGAGTTGCCAGTCTTGTGAGGAAGGTAGGGAAGTGGACATACTTCATAGTACGTCATTCGGAGTGCAGTGGGGGGCGGTAGCTCAGGAGTGGGGTCTCATTCAGGCTGGAGAGCTCGAGAGGCTTCGGGCAGAAGGACCTGGTCTTGAGCAGTGGGTAGGTTGACTCCTGGGGACGTTTGGCAATATCTGAAGACATGTTTGGCTCTCATGACTTGGGTGGGGGTTGGGGAGTGGGAGATCCTAGTAGGCATCTCCTGGGGAGAGGCCAGGGACACTGCTAAACATCTACAATGCACAGGACAGCCTCCACAGCAAAGGATTATCTGGCTCAAAACGTCATTAGTGCTGAGGTTGAAAAACCCTGCTTTAGGGTATTGAACCAGGGAAAGAAAAGAAATGAATCTGTTCCTCAAATAGGTATTTTGGTTGTAAGAGAATTGTGTTAGGGTGATCAATAAAAGCCTTTCCGACGTAAGAACCGTGCCATATATTAGGATAATACTCCATAGGAGAATTGGAGTAGAAATAAGAGTTTCGAGGAGAGAAAAGGAAAAATGTGTCTTGAACTGAGTCTCATTCACGAGTGGCACTGGCCAAGGGAAGGGAGGGGGCTTGCGCTCCAGACACGAGGAAAGCATAAGCAAGAGCCCCCGAGAGGAAAGCTTGTGTGCGGGGTTAGGAGCAGCTCCCGTAGCCAAGTGGCCCTGCTGAAAAAGCACGGGCTTTGGAGTCAGACTCCCTAACTCGGTGACTGTGGGCAAGTTACTTAGCAGCTGTTTCCTCACGCATAAAAGTAGGGTAGTGACTCCCATTTCTTTACATTGTTGAAAGGATTCTGCAAGATCATCTCTTTAAACGTGTAAGAGGGACTGCCCTGCCCAGTGCCTGGCAGCCAGCAGGCGCCCCCTGTGGATGCGGGGCACAGCCCTTGGCCCCAGGAGCCCTACCAGCTTCTCTGGGTGGTCGTGCCGCGTCCTCAGTGAGGCTGTAGGTGTCTGGGTACTTCCCTCGGAGATCCACCGGATGCCGGCCTGCCGGCAGAGCAAGGCCACACACAGCTGAAGGGAAGAACACCTCTCTGATGTGCCCTGGATCTTCTGAGGAAAGGGAAGAGGACGAAGATTGAGGGTCCTCCCTACCTGGGAGGCCGAGAAAGGGTGTCTGGGGGGATTGAACACAGGCTGCCTGACTTTGGAGTTTTGCCCAGGGCTCGCCCTGTTTACCTTACTGCTGTGCTTAGCCAGATACAAAGCTTCTGTGGAGAGAGGGGAGGCCTGCACCACGGGGTCTGGCTGAAGGCTTGCTGGATCCTCACAGAGGGTTGCTGTGAAGAGAATTTCTAAGCCACGGCACTGTGTGTCTCTGGAGCATAATGTGGGCTTGTTTGAAGATCCTCTGTGGATCAGTCATAAATACGAGGAGATGAATCTGGCACCAGCCAGCCTCTAGCCACCCTTCTTATAACTTCGGGGCTCCTGATATTTTTACCAGGCCTAGGATACGTTACCTTTGTGAGTATCGATAGACCCTCTGAAATGACAGGCCTAGGCAGGCCTGTGTCCCATTTTATCAGCAAAGGGAAAAGGACTATAAATAGGTATGGCCTAGATCTGGAATTTCCTAGGGAGAGAAGAGGCCAAAGAGAGAGTTGTTCAAAAGCCTGGAAAGTGGGAAGGGGTGGGGTGGAAAATTCCTGGCTGCCTGGCTTTCCAGATTGATGAAGCCTGAAGAAAACCTAGAGATCCATCCCTTTTTACCTCCTAGTATCTCACCGTATTTCAAAGAGGAGGCTTGGTTTTGTGCCAGACAATGGTTTAATGATTATTTGAAGCCATTCTAAGTGGAACAAGAGAAGGGAAATTCGGATATTGTTTGCTTAAATCAAAAACACATTGTTAGGTGATTACTATCTACAAGAAGTGTCCTAAGCTTAGGGAAAATGGAGTAAGCATAGGTTTTGCACTCAGTGAGCCTGTATTTCAGTGGAAGAAGCAGACAAGTAAACCAAAAGAATACTGCATTGCGATAAGTACCACCATAGTGTTGGCCTCCGGGTACCGTGGGAACATGCAGGTGGGCACACGACCCAGGTTAGGGTGGGCTTCCCAGGGAACAGGACATCTAGGCTAAGCCTTGGAAGGTGGGTGGGTGTCAGCCAGGCCAGAAATGGGAACAACCTCTGAGGCTGTGGGAGAGCCATGTGCGGGGACATGAGGTTTGCTTGGGGACCTGCAGGCATTGAGTATAGCTGTGCATGGAGGTGGGGGAGAGTGGAGGGCTGGTCACCAGGGAGGCCACTTTGCTTTGTAGGGCCTGGAGCCTTCAACCCAAAGAGTGCTAGGTCCAGACCTCAGTGCTGCCATTTAATGGCCTCTCTGAACCCATTTCCTCCTTGATTAAATGGGGTTGTTGGAGAAAGCAGATGAAGCAGTTATAGGGCCTCTCCTAGGAAGTGCTCCCTACATATAGGGAGATGTGAGACTGGGAGTGAGGGAAGTGGGAGAGTGAGAGTTGGAAGGGAGGACATGGACTTCGGGAATAAGGAGAAATGCCAATGTCCAAATGACTGATGGCTGGACACCTGAAGAAGCTATAGGCTGTGCAGACACTAATTTTCTAAGCTGATGAAAAATGGTCTCATAACTACCCAGGCTCTGGATTCAGCCTTGGGGAATAGCTTCGAAAGCGACAATACAAAGGAACCAGCCTGAAACCCTCGCCCAGTGATTTCTTACCGCTGAATATGATGAACTTTGGAGGAGGATTTTTAATGACCGAAAGAAACAACATGGTAAAGAGAAAAGCACATAGTTGAGTAAACAAGAGGAGGATGGTTTGGGTGGCCTGGCTGTCTCTAGCTGCCAGTGGCCATTCCCACAGGGGGGGGGGGCGTGGGGGCGGTGGGGAGAGAGGAGTAGAGCTGCCTTCTCTGTCCTTAGGGCTTTCTGCCGAAGGTCTAGGCATGAAAGCAAACTAGTTTGCTCCAGTATCTCATTACATAAATTTAAGCTCTAATTAGCTCTTCTCTCCTCCTACGCACGCTCTTGTAGATTAGAAAAAGCCAAATGAGGCCCTCTCTCTCACTGGCTCCTCCCTGGGTGTTGGGTTCTGAGTCAAACACTAGGGCTGGTGCCCCTGGAAATGGAGAACGGTGCCCAGGAACCCCACCCCCCCACCCCC